TAACCTTAGGCACACTATTGGTTATATTTGCCTGTATGCAAATTTCACACTTATGCATATTGCAGTTATTTGCAAAATTTGCATTAGCATTTTGAATATCTTTATAGCCAGTAGTATTATTCTAGTTAGAAGAATTGTTTTCAGTAGTGTTTATAGTTATCAATTTTATTACGTCAGCAGAATTAGGTTTTGCCTGACAATTGCCTTGTAAATTAGGTGGATAAGTTTTCTTGTTGGTTTTGGATGAATTAGACAAAGTTGAATTTAATCTACTAGAAATTGCTATATTTAGCCTATTATATAAGCTTTTGTTAAGTAGATTTTTGTTTTAAGTAATACTCTTAGTTATCTTTTGATTACTAATTATACTTTTCTTAGTAGTCACATGACTATCTTATAAATTAGTGTTTTTCGTGTTTTTCAGCAGGTAGCCTATAGCTTTTGCACTAATATGGCCTATTCTTTTATGCAGTAATTCATATAGTGCTTTTACACTACTTTCTTGTACTATATTTATAGTAGGCTTAGGCTTTGTAATATTATGTTTTTTAATTACTTTAATAGGTAGGTAATATAAATTACCTATTTTATCACCTTTAGTAATTACTTTATTATTTCTAATAAATGCACAGCCTGCAAATGAAAATACTAATTGTACATTCTGAAGTTTTCCTTGACTTATAAGGTTGATACCAATTTGTAGCATATAAAAACAGTTTTGCAGTAATATTTTTTCTTTGCTATCTATAAATTCAATATATACATTTCCATACCCTGTGATTTCTAGGGTTTTTGCCCCGCCCTAACTAACCATAGTCTTACACTCCTAAATCGTTTAAAATAGTAATTTATCACTTATAACGTAAGCTTCTACAGCAGTATCTATTACAAAGTTAGCTTTGTATATAGAATTTAAGTTGGTTGTTAATACCTAGACCTACTTAGTATTACAAGCTTTAATCTTTTTAATCTAGTCGCTTAGATTGGCTAGCTTATTGTCAGTCAATATTGACTAAAGTTGAGAGGGTATATTATTTGTAATACACACCTGTATTTGCTTTTCTAAATATTCAGAAAGCAGTTGTTCCATATTAACATCGCTAAATAAATCAACTCTATCAGGTTATTCAAAGTCCATTAGGTTGCCTTCTTGGCTGCCCTAGCTACTGCCCTGGCTACTACCCTGGCTTTAAGGTAGGGTAGGTGGATTTTCTAGGCTAGTAAGGACTGGCGCCACCACGGTTGATTTTTTGTGAAGGTTGAGGGTATTTTCTTCCCTTTTTTGGAAGGCAGGATTCCCACGTACTGAAGGGTCCCGATTTGAGTCCCAACCTTCGGGAGCTTTTTCAGGGAATAGGTAGAAGCACCCAGTGGTATTGTAAGTAGCCACTTTACAGTAGTTACACCAAGCCCCTTTTGTAGATTTCCACACAGCCTTTTTAAATCCTTGATTGGATCCATTTTTCTAACTACCTTTATAAGGTTTATTAACCTTGTAAGGTAATTTTGGCTGCCTTACTACCATTACTTTGGTAGTAGATTCTTCATTGTCTGCTAGTCTGCATGATTTATCAAGCAAACTATTACACAACGTAGTCAAAGTGTAAGCTTTAATGTCTTTACGTAAGGCTTGCGTGATATTTGCCACAAATCCTTCGTATCAATCAGTCAAAGCATTTAAAATCCAACTAAGAATACACTCATCATTGAATTTCCACCCCTTTTGGTGTAATTCAGTCACTAGCTCTTTGGCTTTGGTGATAAATGCATCTATACTAGCAAAATCTGCCAGTTAAATTCGCAAGAATTTCTTGAATAACAAGTGGTTAGTAGTAAAACCTTCCAGCTTGTAAGCCTGCTGCAAGGTATCCCATACAGCTTTAGCTTCTTTCAAGTGCTTGATGTATTCAAGTGGTTCTTTTCCACACAAAAGCTTCAAAAGTCCTGCAGCTTGTTTGTTTTCTTTGGCAGTAGAGACTTTAAAGTCACCTCCTTCCTCAGAATCAGGGGTTTTATACAGGCAGTGATCCAGATCCTTCATTTCCAAGGCAACTGGCACATGAATCGACCAAGTAGGGTAGTTGGCTGCGCCAGTAAGAAGAGGAATGGTGATTTTGCTGTCCATTTTGAGTGAAAAATCAAGTAAAATGGAAGAAATCAGGTGAAGAATTCAGTTAGAAAGACAAGATTGTGTAGTAGAAAGGATGATTTTTGTGTCTTGTGAGTAAACCAGTCACTTTAGAAGGAAATGGAAAATACCACATGAAAGAGGATAGAGTTATTAGTGGAAATCACGTGACAGAAAGGAAACCAAACCAGTGGTTGCCTTAATAAGCAAGGTTTGAAGTTGGAAGGTGCATAGGTATTGACTAGTTAAAAGAGATTGAGCAATCCAGGCTCATAACCTCAAAAGGTTAGGTTGTGACCAAAGAGGTAGGTTGTGAAAGCAAAGTATTCAACTAGTGAAAGTACTGCTGTAAGCAGTAGAAAGGCAGGAAGTAAGGTAGGCAAGTAAGATGCAGAAGACTAGTTATATTGTATGGTTGATGATGATTTTTTTTCCAAAGTCAAGCAGCTATTCTAGCTAACTATATAGTAGAAATTCAGTCTTCTTGCTTTACTTAATCTACTAGATCAAACAACTTGATACCTTGGATTGGCTGATTAGACTAGGTCTGTAGAATCCGATTGTTTGAATCAGTAGTAATACATAGATCACACACTTATAAGGTGGTGATACGTATCAAGTGGTTTGACAAGGTTTGAAGGTTTTAAATGGCTTGATTTTCTGCACCTACCCTGTACTTGCAAGGCTATTCTAAACTTGCCAGGCTACCCTAGACCTCCCAGGCTACCCTGGACTTGCCAGGCCACCCTGGATTTGCCGGGCTACCCTGGACTTGCAGGGCTACCCTGGACTTGCAGGGCTACCCTGGACTTGCAGAGCTACCCTGGACTTGCAGGGCTACCCTGTCCTTAAGGTTAGGGTTGCTTTTGGCAGGAAAGTCCTTTAGACTTCAAATGCCAATTATAAGGTAAGGATTGATCACGTGACTTAGCTACTTTGTAGGCTTATAAATACGTCATGTATGACGCCTAATCAGCAAACCGTTTAGTCGTCACTATTGTAGTTACCTTAATATATAGGTTTGAAGTTAGATTATCAAGTAATCTTCATAGCCACCCTGTCCTTAGGGTTAGGGTTGCCTTTGGCAGGAAAGTTCTTTGGACTTCAAATGCCAATTATAAGGTAAGGAGCTATTACGTGACTTAGCTACTTTGTAGGCTTATAAATACGTCGTATGTGATGCTTAATTAGCAAACCGCTTCTTAGTTATAACTATTGTGCTTATCTTAATATATAGGTTTGAAGTTAGATTATCAAGTAATCTTTATATTTAATCTATATATTAGGCGCAGCTCTTGCATTAATCATTCATAGCTGCCGCCTTTAGCCTTCCTACATCAAGCTGCAACCTTTTCTAATGCAAGGAGGCGCAGCAGTACCTAACAGAAGGTTTTAAGTGGTTTGATTTTCTGCACCTACCTTGTACTTGCAAGGCTACTCTAGACTTAAAGTTAGGGTTACCTTTGGCAAGAAAGTCCTTTAGACTTCAAATGCCAATTATAAGGTAAGGATTTATCTTGTAACTTAGCTAGTTTATAGTCTTACAAATAAGTTACTTATAATACTTAATTAGTAGACTGCTTAGTTATCACTATTGTAGTTTCCTTAATATATGAGTTTAAAGTTAGACTTATCAAGTAATCTTTATACAAGGCAAGGACAAGGTTTTCACTTGCATACATATAGCAAACGTTGTCTTTGATTGAGGAGAGTAGAGATTAGTAAAATTCCAACCAATATTATTATTTACAGTGCTAGCATTGCTTTGTACCTTCTTACTCTATCCTGCAGTCTCGCAAGCATTGACACAAGGCTACCTTAGACTTGCAAAGCTACCTTGTACTTGCAAGGCTACTGAGGAGGAGAGACACAAAACCACCTACCTACCTACCTCTCAAAGTAGTATACTGCTGCTAAGGCGTAGGCCCCAACGGCAGTAGCCACGTGATCGGCTGGCAGGCGGATGGAATTGTGCTTCTTCCTTACCTCTGGCGCACGTGACTAGTCAGGTGACTCTGATCAGCCCCGTTACGTCTCGCGGTAGTGCCCAAATCCAGTCGTGTAAGTAAGGTAGGAAAACGCCGGTGGCGTGATCAATTGAATTGAAGGCGTAAGGAAGGAATGGAATGCGGTAAATCAAGTATTATTGCGTAGAAAGCTTCGAAATAACTAAGGTGTAAAGAGTGCTGCTTGTAAATCCGTGTAAGTCCGATGATAATCTTCCAATTTGAGGCCCTGATCACGCTCTTATATGGAAGCGCAGAAAATCCGGTCCGAAGCTGACTCATCCTAGCCTGAAGCGGCCTGTGCCTTTTCCATTCACCACGTCACTACCCTAAACTTAAGGTTAGGGTTGTCTTTGACAGGAAAGTCTTTTGACTTCAAATGCGAATTATAAAGCAAATAGTTATCACGTGACTTAGCTACTTTATAACTTTACAATAAGTCACTTACAATGCTTAATTAGCAAACTGCTTAGTCATTACTATTGTAGTTACCTTAATATATGGGTTTAATGTTAGACTTATCAAGTAATCTTTATAAAATATAAATAAAACCCTTGGCTTTTAACCAAATTAACTTGCCTATCAAGAAATAGAAATACAATGGCGCGCCATAGTGAATGAGCGTGTATTCCTTTAACTCCCTAGTTAGTAGTTCTTGCGGTAAGCAAGAGCACTCTCTAACACAGCCATCGCTTAAACTGCAGGGAGGGCCTGAGGAAGCCTCTTGTTAAGCTTTATCGCTCGCCTGGCATACTTGGGATGCTATGAGAAAGCCAGACGTCAAGCATTTGAAACACAGATAACCCAATAAGCAAAAGGCGTTTCTATATGCGACATCGCTCGATCGGTGGTGTTTAGCACTCCCCCTACCAACCCCACTTCAACAGCGAGCCGTTGTATATGTAACTCCCATTAGTCGACGTGCACTGATAGATGGAGAACGGCGGGGCGCACGGCGGATCTATGCCTTCGCCCTCGGGACCCGCGTCCTTTAGCAGCAGTGCCGCGACGTCGTGCGGCTCGAGAGTGACGCGCCACTCCCGGGTCGCGACGCCCACGTCCTGGTGCAGCCACATGTCGTACACGGTATACTTCCTGCCCGCGCGCACCGCCCAGTTCTCGGTCAGGTTGAACTGCATCTCCCGCTTCTCGTCTGCGGTGTTGATGATCATGAAGACGGGGCCGTAGGACGAGTTCCCGCCCCAGTATTCCGGCGGAGAGCTGGCGTTGTAGGTTATCGTCGTGTAGTCTGGCTGATTCCCGATCCGGAACGGTACCACGGCGGCGCCTTCGTTGGGATCCTGGTTGATCGCTATGATGTCCTTGTTGAGCAAGATCTCGAGGGTTTGGTTTGTGGCGTTGCGCAAGTCCGTGCCGATCAGGAGGTGGGACTTGAGGAATGCCCATGCCGTGAAGTGCGTTCGCTGCTCGTAATACGTTAGGTTCCCGGGCGGAGACCCTTGTCCGGAGTTGCCGACTTCGAGCATGTCGAGATCTGCGTGGCGGTAATGGTCTGTTAGAAGAGAGGAAGTAGCAGCAAGATGTAGGATGCTCGCAATGTCCGCCCAAAACGGCTTGATATCTGGGTCGATGCGCCATGCCTGTGCGATCCGGGGTGCCCAGTTATGAGGTCCCTGCCATCCCCATTGGCAGAGCGAGTAGACAAACGGCTTTTCCCCGTACTTTGCCGCGAGTTCGTTGATCGCATCCTGCATGCGTTTAAAGCGACCGTACTGGTTCTCCATGGTGACGTTATCGTAGGGTATGTAGCAATTGTCATATTTGACCATTTTACTCCAGCCCCAGGAACGCCACGTCTCGAGATCCTGGAGCTCGCGCCCGTACGAGCCTGGGTAACCTGCGCAGGTTTTGTAGCCGTTGGAGGAGTAGGCACTGCCCGAGATTCCGAAGCCATTCATTGTCTTTGTCCAGTTCAGCCTACGCGGAAACCAAGGTCAGCTGCTATGCAATGCTCCTTCTACTGCTGTGTCTTAGCTACCTACATCCCATGTGGAAACTTGACAGGATCTGCGACCATCTCGCCGTCTTCGGATCGGTTCTCAAGGGCATAAAAGTCGTCCAGAATGAAGGTCTGCCAGAATGACATTAGCATATGCCGGCCAAGGGACAACTTCTCTTACATCATAGCCCGCGTCGACTAGGCCGTACTTTTCCATGAGTCGCCCCTGCTCGATCGCCAATGCGCCATCGAAATCTGCCTCAAATGCATTATAGGTGTCGTAACCCATGACAGGCAGTTTTCCAACCTCTGGTAATGCTGAGCTCAGAACGGTGCAAAGACAGCAAGGGTCGATGTTGTCATACCATGGTCTGAAGAGGCTGACGTGCCAACTAGCAAGCCAAACGCAACTAGCCATAGCATTTCCATCTTGTATAGCGTAAGGGCCAACAATAATCGGTAAGGTTAGATAGAGCTGTGATACTAGGCTTTGGAAGATGTTAAAAGTCGCCCTCACAATGTAAGCTGGAGAATGTTACCAGCTTGGTTTCCTACCACGAGAGGCGCTTCGCTGGCTTTGCATTAGTAGAAATTGGCCTGGGAATTTGCGGACTATATATTTGCCACGGAGATGGTGGCACCGCAGAAGTACAATGCAGACGAGGTAATTAATACGCCGACCAGGCGGAGAAAAGGATTCCGGCGTAGATGAATTTTAGCCGGTAACTATCCACCAATTGGACGGCTTGCAAACAACAAAGCCAAGACAGGTTGAAGCAATCAGTGCTCCTCAGAATGGTTCAGTCTTCCTTCTGCGTTAGAATAAACGTCCCGAACCTGAGTTTCCTATTTGTCCCCCACGTCCCCCTCAACGTCTTCGTTCCTGGATCCACTTGCCCCCGATAGAGCCATCCATGACGTTGATATAGCTTGACAAACCAGACGGTACCAATCGGGTCGACGAACCCATGGAACTGGAATTTCCCAACGATATCCTCGTTGCTGCTCGCGAATGTGCACGGCCGCGAACCCTGAGGTGGTTGCGACGGGATGTCGACGAAGAAAGGTTCCTGTCGTTTCTCCCATCAGGATAAGTACTCGTAGTGGCCAGTCCACGAGCCCGAGATGGCACTTCTCGCTCTCAAGGCGGACAAATTAGAATTGGGGTTGGGGGTGACGGCAAGCAGGGAGGGTCGCCGACTGATGTTGAGCGTGAGGTTGTCCATATGGTTCAGTGTGCGGTTACGCAAACAGATGCGGGAGAGGTTGATCTCCTCGTCCGCCGCATGCGCCAAGCCAAGGTCTGCCGCCCACTGGTTGGGAGACACGTTGCTGGAGAGGTTTGACAAGTATTCCTTGACCGAGAAATGGACAAAATGAACTGTGTGGTCGGCCAAGGGCACCTCAGCCGAGTTCGATTTTAGCTGCAGCAGGGACCCGCATCTGCCCAGGATCATTTCCCTGACGTAGTCTTCGTCAACGAACCCGTCCTGCCATGAGTCCGGCAGATCATCTTCAGGGTACTCTTCTAGATCATCACCAGACACCACAAGAGCCTCGGCTAGTTCCTTGACCTGGAGAGGGCGGACGGCAAACAGTGTCCATCGTAGAATCATCACGGCCATCGTCTTTTGGCTTGGTGAGAGCCGGGCAATCTTCTCGAGTTCACGGGAATAAGATTCCACTTGCCTGCAAGAGTGTTTTCACAGCAATCCATGGAATAGACGCATGTCCGGGGGCGAGCTGGACCGCGGCATCTCCCACATCCTTCAACTTGTCGAGCCAGTCGCACACCTTGCTCAGGACGCCTCGGACTAGGACTTTGTCTCCCGACCTGCTGGTGTAGAGAACCCATTGCTTCTTCACGCACTCCTCCTTTTTGTTCTCTACGACTCGGATGAGTGCCGTGGGGTTGATGTCTGTACCCTCGCGAACGAAATCGAGACTCTTCTTAGCGCTATCGGACAAGCCAGCGAATGCCCTCTCCCAGGGGCTCGGCCTTGCGTCCTGCCTTCCCGGTGTTCAGACTCGTATCGCTTCCTGTGACCTCCCCCACCATGGCATCCTGCAACACAAACACTGGAGACAGGGCTTTTGCCGCCACAGACTGCCCTACCCGCCATTTCAGCAGACCAAGTACGCCACGTCTTAGCAATTAGAGGTGTCGCGACGAGCTCCTAAAACCCTGCCGCTCAACGCTCTCACCACTCAATCTCTTGTTTTCTCACCGTCCGCCTGTCTGCCTCAGTGATGGAAGACGGATGCCGCGATCCTGGTGTACCTCCGGGAGAAGACAAACATGCCGCTCCCGCGCCTGCAGCACACCTTCAAGGACGACGGGGCCTTCTACTTCAGCACCGAACTCGTGCCGGGGGTCAGCATGTCCCAGCTCACTGAGGAGCAGAAGCAGGTGGTCACCGAGGAGCTGCTCGAGCACGTTGCTACGCTAAAAGTCGCTCCGATCCGACACCCCTGGCGTGCCAGGTCAAACGCTGCTATGTGCTCTCAACAGGGTCCACAGCCGGTTCTGGAAGCATCACACTTGCTGGCAGCCGAAGTCCGATATTGAAAAAGGGAGCTACGTCTTCTGTCACAATGATCTGGGGCAGCATAACGTCATCGTCGACCCCGAAACTCTCAAAATCAACGCCATCATCGACTGGGAGTATGGCGGCTTCTGGCCCGAGTGGTTCGAGCAGCCGTATTGGAAGCGAAAAGGACCCAGCGCTCCCCTTAGGGGCGAGGAGGATGACAGGGAGCGGTGTCGCGAGTGGCTCATTGTGTCGAAGTAGAGATGGAGCACCTGCTGTCACTGAAGGAAAAGCTGGGGGAGTAGTTATAGCTCTCCTCCAAGGTGAAGGGCAGCGACTGAGGACCTGAAGCACCAGGGTAATAGCGAGGACGATCCCCATTCTTTCTACCTAGGGTGGCTATGTGGTTATCCAACTTCAATCAGCGTGTACCCGTCGCCTTCGCCTTTCATTTCCTAACACCGTCATAGGGCTAAGTCCCTCAACGTGTCGACGGGTCACAGCCCGCCTGACATCATTTTTTGCTGCATTTCATGTCAGATTCATGCCCTGAAGAGTAACGTTGGGAGAACGGGTTGTCAAGCGTTAAGATACGAGCTCCAAGTGGGACAATCGTCTTGCGTCTGGGTCGATGATATATCTGTCCCCCAACCGCCAGGGCATTTCACGACCTCGCTTGGCATGATTGTTGTTCTTGCTGCATGGTAATAGCAGTGGATCGGCTCTCACGGAGCAGGGTTATCTTTGAAGTTCTTCCCATCTTCCTTAATTTTCTTGGGGTCGTTGATGTCGTCCGCTACCCTTGGAAATGGCGTCGAAGCGACTGTTAAGCAAGAGCGTCACGGATCCTCCATTACCGCTGTCTCCACACATCTGCGCAAAAAGTCGATGAGTCTTCCAACTCGCCAAGTCTCCTCCATCAAGTTACCTAAGACAAAGTCAACCGCGGACTCATTAACGACATGGAGAACGGAACCACGGGAGTTGACACAACAGCTCGTGACGATCTATAGTAACTCTAAAAAGTAAGTAATAATCATTAGCAGTAGTTACCGAATGGCCACAACTTACAGGACTACAGACTGTATCTGGGCAAAGACACAGCTGCCACCCCTTACACGATTGACATGGAGGGAAATGTCTCGTTCGAGCCAACCGGGAAGACTTACACCATTCAATTCCATACCGACTTCGACAATAGCGGACTTCCCTAAACCAAGACACTCAACGGGAAGGTCCCACCTTCCACCGATCCCGCCGGCTCGGGAGTTGTGGTCGAGGGCGCAGAGACTCTTAACCCCAACAATGCCGGGGACGGTTCACTGATACCAGGGTCGTTTGTCAGACTGGTCATTACCTTTGCCGTCCCATTCATTCTCGCCTACGTTGCGCACACGCACAAGAGAGAGCAGCAGCAGCTGCAGCAAATCCGTGACGAGGTCCGACATTTTATCAGAACGTTCGAATCTGTCTCGCCCATCAATGAGCGCATCCGGGAGGGGGTCGACGAAGTCCAGGTTACAGAATCAAGATCTCAAGAAACGTGACGGCCGGGGAGCTGGAGAAGGACGGCCATAGCAGCGACGCTATGTACGAGGCCATGCGCCGGTATATCGCGCTGATGACCCAGATGTCACCCCGGACAAGCTCAAAGAGGTTGCGCAAGAGGCGACGCAGACTTACCTCGAAGGCCGATATCGAAGCGTGATCCGGACCAGGGTCTACGCCCACCTCGGGCAGAAGGATTACAAAGAGGTCGTGGACTTGATTCGGCAACAGATCATCAGCGCCGCCGGGATCAACGAGGAGGCTACGAAGATCATCGACGAAGACGACGCCAAAGGATCTGCGCGAGCAAGTGAAGACTGCGGAGATGGCGAGAATTAAGGAGTTGGATGAGTTGAAGAGGTACAAAGAGGCAATTGATCACCAGAAGGATCCAGCCAGGGAAGACGAGAAGAAGGAGGCTGGCGACGCTAAGAAGAAGGAGGCTGGCGAGGCTAGGAAGAAAGCGGAGTAGCACAGAGGGACGTTAGTCCGACAGTCCCGAGAACTTGGGAGGTCATTGTATGTATCTAGAGCTTCTCTCGAGCTTCTGGAACGATCTGAGGAGGTGGCAGGGTGCACTGACTGACTCTGTGTTGGACTGATGGTACTGTACAATTCCATGGTGCAGTATAGCTACCCCAAACCCCCACCCAGAGTCAAGCAAGTGCCCAGCCTTCTCAGGCCCGCCCATTCCTAGCTTGGTTAAGAATCTCACAGTGATCCAACCCATGGGTGGTGCCAGATTGCGAAATAGCGTCTCGCACCCATTGCCCTCTTGGGCGCATTACGGCCCGGAAGGGCTTGGGCACGGTCACGAAGCCTTCGGTGCAAGCCATATCGTCAACCTTGTGCCTCTCGCCGGTGGACTCGGTGATTCCAGCCTCGACGTCGAAGGCCCACAGCACGCGCGCCATCTCGATGAACAACTGGTTGCGTGCAATGATTCGGCCGGTGCAGATCCTGCGCCCGAATCCGAAGCCCGTGTGTGGCAGGTCCTTGAGGGCGGTCACATTGAACCCACACGCGTCGATTGATGGCTCCCTGGCTGCTGCTGCGTCTCCATCGTTGACGAGCCACCGCTCAGGCACGAATGCGTCAACGTCTTCGCCGAAGACGGATTCATCGCGGGTAATGGCAAAGGCATTTGGCAGCACAATGGAGTTGGCCGGGATGTGGTATCCCATGTAGTTGTCCTCGGTCTTGGTGAAATGTGGCACTCCGCCAACGACAACCGGGCGCCAGCGCAGGGTCTCGCTCGCTGCCAACAGGAGTTGGTTAGCGGATGATTGGAGACTGGAGATTGGGAAAAGAAGAAAAGTGGAAAGAAGAAGGGGGGGGAAAAACTCACCAATGGCATCGATGTATGCTAATTTTGGGCGGTCTTCAAAGGTTGGCAATCGATCCCTACCGACCACCTCATCGAGGAGCTGCTGCGCCTTCGCCACCCAGCTTGAGCCAGACGTGATCCAGGCGACGATGAACCAATCCAGAGCCACCGTTGAAGTGTCCAGGCCGGCGTCGGCAAGAATCCCAAGATCAAAAGCAAGTTCCTCGGTGGGCATGTCCTGGCCCTCCGGGGACTGCTTCATGTGTTTGCTAAAGTTCCAGCCCCGGTTGTTCAGACCCTTGTCCAGGTTTCCGACGTGAAGCTGTCGCTCCAGCTCATACAGCTCTTCCCCTTCCTTCTTCCAAGGCGCCAGGAACTTGGGCAAGTAGTTGAGTGAAGGGAACGAGTCGACAAGGTAGGCCCCGACTTGGCCGGTCCTCGCGAACTCGGCCTGCACACGCTTGCCATCCATGAGTTCCTTCTCGTAGCCCGTCTTCAGGCGGTAGCCGTAGTTGAGGCAGTAGATGGTGCTGGCCATTGCGCGCTCAAAATGGTGGTGGAAGTCGACGCCTTTCTCGCCAAACTCGTCATACTCTCCCAGGACATCGAAGAGCAGCTGTTTGGATTCCATGTCCTGGAGCGGTCGGTAGGAGCTTGCGGAACGAAGATTGAGGAGGGGCGCTTCCATCCGCTGATGTAGCTTGTACCTTTCGTCGTATGGACGTATAAGCATGTGCATATTCTTGGTGACCAGCTCGCCAGCCATGACCAAGCGCGGCCGGTCAGAGTACCGGGCACTTCGCCGGTTGAGAAGATCGTGCGCGGCTTGGTGTGTGGACAGGATGATCAACGGCTGGCCCCCCATGCTCAAGTGCATCACGGGGCCATACTTCTTGCTCCAGTGGTAGAGGTGAAGCCACTGGAGCCTCTTGGGCAACTGGTGGATATTTCCGATCAGAGGTGCCGGCTTGGGTCCCGGTGGAAGGGGATGTGGCGAGCGTCTAATGAGGAGGCTGATCAGGCGGCCTATTATGACGGCACTGAGGAGGCCAAGGCCCAGAAATTTGGCGTCCCAATACATGTCTTTAGAGCCCGAAGATAGGCATACCACGCACAGTCAGATGAAAAGCAAATCCGGGGTCACCGAGTCTTCTTCTCTACCTTAAATGTCTTTCAGGCCCCTGCTTTTCCCCAAGATCGCTTGCCCATTGCAGATTTGGTATGGGCCACTAATCATTTGACACAATACAAACCCAGGGTCTGGAGTAGCAGTGGTGTTCATCACTTATCACTTGTCTTGGCCGCCGACTTACCTATGCACTAGTGTAGTAATCGTTAATTACCAGGTGAAAGAGTAGAGCTTCCCCGAGCCCTTAGGGCGCCTTACCCGTGCCACGCCCCACTTTATTTGGCCCTCGAGATCAAGAACTCGCAGTTGGTACTACCTAGTAGTGTAGCAGAAGTGACAGGCTTCCAAATCCTCCCTCTTGCAGCCCCTCTTGGTAAGATGGCATCTTGGAGACGTGTGTTCTTCTCATTGGCCGTTTTTCATTCTCCAAAAGGCCATTGACCCGGATATCCGACCTGAATATAAGTTCTGTATTATGAGAAAATCCGTCTGTGCGATTCTTGTTCAAGTGGAATTGCGGGCTGTCCCAATGCGCCCGCCCTGGCGTTCAAACGGTCGCTAGCGTGCCACTATTCCGGTAGGCATACAAAGACGAATTACGTTCGTAGTCTACATTAGTCACCGCGTCGATCACTGCGCGAAGACCCAGGGGGCTGGTATTGCCGCCAGGGTATCGAAACGAAATTTGAATAACGATAAACACACATGTAAGGGGTTTCTTATGCGGTGTGGGAGCAATCCATACGTTCGGATTTGTTGATGCCTCGGACACTTTCCAGACCTGGGCAGCCTCGCGACGCTGGCGTCCGACTACCAACCCACCTGATGTCCCAGTTCTGCCTCATGCCCCCTTGAAAAGACAACCACTTACTATGATAACTCTCAAGCGGGTGGTGTACTACGTGTATGGTAGCTTCCCCTTGCTCGAAGGAAGATACGAGGGCCGATCCGTAGACCAAGCCAAGATGTCTAGCTCGGTACATAATTACCACTCAACAGCGGCCATTTGCCTTGATGATTGGTGGGTGGCGACGGCAACATAAACCCGCATCCAGGGACCTTGGGAACGCAAGCTCCGATAGGGACTTCCGGTGTCGAGCTCACATGGGGTTTGTTGTGGGCGCCCGGTATACATGGAATACTGTCAGGGGCAATACGTTGTTGGTTGTTCTGATACAGTCCAGGAAGAAGACCCGCAAAGCTCCTCGCCACAAGCCGAGTTTTCCTTTTTCCAAGGGGAACGTACCATGCGGGTGACGGCTCGCTACAAACATATATCGAAGGCATCGATTCTCGAGACATCATCCACATGCCCTCGAAATCAAGTCCGGTGAAGCAACAAGAAGAGCAACCACCATGAGGCTGATATTATGGGCGGTATTCGCCATCACGGGCTTGGCCGCTCTCTCCCAGGCCCAGACTATGCCGACCTGTGCGGTACGTTGAGCCTCTGTCGATGCGGGGACAAGCACCGAAACAAACAAACAAACTAATCATGCTTGGTAGAGCGATTGCCTGACCACACATCTCAAGGAGTCATCGTGCGATCCCACAGACTTTGAGTGTATATGCGCGGATCAAACATTGATGGGCGATGTCGAGATTTGTTCAATGGGAACCTGTACAGTCGTTGAAGGACTCGGTGTGTTTGAACCCCCCCATATTGCCGCATTGCACCACCCCCTGAGGTTAACCTTTGCCCTTGATTAGCTGCCAGGAACGCAACGGCGACGCTTTGCAAAGAGCCAGTCCGAGACAGGAGTCTCGTTGCGCCTATTGCGACTGCGGTATCCGCTGCCATCGCCCTCGCATTTGTTCTCATGAGGATGTACGAGTGCTATGTTCGGAAGGAATACCAATGGACCGACCTCTGCGCCGTCCTTGCCATGGTGGGAACTTGACGATATGGTTAAAAAAAACCCGGGAAGCATCTGCTGACTTGCACTACAGGTCTCTTCCGTTCCCATGGATGCGTTCGAGTTTTTCAGTATGCCCATGTCACCCATTGCTCCTCGACATGAATATGTGCTGACAAAACAAATAGTGATGGCCGATGGATTTGGCAAAGACATCTGGACGCTGACCCCAGAACAAATCACAAACGTCGTCAAGGTAAGCCGCCATCACCAAGAGAAACGCGAACGTGGAATGAGGTGCGCGTGTACCTAACACTTCTCAGTACACCTGGATCACCCAAGTTACCTACATTCCAGCCATCATCCTGACGAAGGTCGCCATAATATGCTTTTTCATGCGCGTGTTCCCCGGCAGAGGAACCCAGATGTTGTGTATTGGCACCATAGTCCACTGCATGTTGTTCATGGTTACGACTACCATCACCGCGATTCTCGCCTGTGTCCCAGTCCAGTATGCCCGGTCGAACTGGGCTGGAACGGGGGAGGGCGTATGCTACCACAACACGGCCTTCTGGTGGGCTCATTCGGTAAGGGGGAACTCAATCATGCCGAAACAAGGGACGTTTTGCTGACTGTGGCCCGAGGCCATAAACATCACCACTGATCTGTGGATCCTGGCGCTGCCGGTTCCACAACTTCTGAAGTTGCAGCTCGGGAAGAAGAAGAAAGTCTATCTGATTCTCATGATCAGCGTTGGTATCATGTAAGTGGTGGCCTATGAAGACAACTACCCCCATCCCAATGTTGCACAGCTCACAGTACGATAGAATCACGGTTGTAAGCGTCGTCCGGTTTTCTGGTCTGGTCACGTATTCTGCTACGTCAAACCCAACATGTAAGTTGGAAGAAGGGCCCAAACTCGGAAACTGAAAGGCTAAACTCGTATGGCCAAGACAACAACGTCATGGTGGCAACCTACAGTGTTATCGAATGCAATGTCTCGATCATGTGCTGTTGTATGCCGTGCCTGCCAGCGTTCCTCCGCCGCGTCTTCCCCGACATGTTTGGCAGTACCGACCAATCCGATTACAAGGCCGGAAGCTACAACGTCGTCAAGTCTCCGTTCCAGAGCAATGCGTTCCCGAGCAATACGATCCAGAAGAGCGTCACACATTCGGTGTCTTACATGCCCCGCGCCGGCGATTCCGATGTGGTTGAGCTGATGGATATCGAGGAGAAAAAGCAAAAACAATATCATCAGTGGTAAAAAGAGGACTCGTGACACTCATTCGGGATTCCGGAAAAACCTGTTCGCCTCAGTGTTTGCGGTTGCCGAACGAAGCTTCTCTTGAGTCAACATGAGTAGTGCAGTCAAACAGGTTTCGCCTGTGTAATATTATATTTATAGAACTCCGCGGGATAGACTCTTTGCAAGGGAACTTCTCTGCCAGCATGAGCAGTCGGCTCCGGCCGAGGGCCGTGGGCAGGAAGTCTGTGCTCCCGGACCGGCGGCGAGCCGTCAATTTGTTTTCTGCCGGAAATGCTCCGTGGGGCATTAGGCAAGATGCTTCGTGGACAGGGGCGCGCCAAGTGGGGGAATTCATGGCATGGTGGCAGAAAAATTTGACAGGCCATGGCCAAAGTGCTACACTAAATTGCCATTGTTGCGGCCTGCCAAATGTGAAACCACCTGGCAGTAGTACGCCAGCCCGTTAACAATTGCTACAGCCAGAACCCTTGGCCACGACCAACCTGCCTATGTCTGCAGAGAGTTGCCTGTTAAAGTTCCTTCTCCCGTGGTACAGCTAGTAGAACCTGTTCCCTAGTTAGATAATTACGTCATCTATCCGTATTTAATCCGGATTATATCTCTGAGAAATGTGGGTACTTCATACGCCTTTACGGATACTTCCCTCTCCCACTTCCTTCTACCAAACCAGGATGTCACCATGGAGGCTGGAAGGTCCCAGCACTGCCGCGCTTACTCCCCCACCCCACGCTCTCCAGCCAGGCCTTCTGCTTCGCCCACCCTTTCCGGGTTACCTACCTACTATGTAGAGCTTCCCCTTGTCGCCAATTCCTTCTCCGTGGCTGTCATACTTGTCGCTGCTCGTTTTCTTGTGCATTCTGCTTCCTTCCTACGTATGTCTCATTCATCAAGCATTATATATATACCGTCCGAGCTATTGCGCGGTGAATGAGCATGTCGCTTCCGAGTCCCGCCGCCTCCACAGTCGCGTCCGTATCCGCCATCCCCCATTTTCCCATCTTGCCCCAGCTGACCCAGACATCTGATAGATCAGAGCACAGAGTCTAGATCCGCACCTGATATCGGCCTCCCCCCCTATTTTAGAACTCGCCATCAGACACTGTTCACAAGACGACCTCAGACATCCGATCAGACATTCCCGATCACTGCCTCGTTCCCGTGCGCCACGTCGCGAAGGTACGCGAGAACCCCTCCAAGTGGCCGCTTTTTTTTGCGCCGCAGCAGCACAAGGAAATTTGCCTCTCTCCCTCCCTCGACCAACCTCCACCCAGAATCACTGCGCGCGGCACCCGAGTGTTTCAGACAGCCAGCGCAGTCTAGCGAGTCAGGCCGCCAAATCCAGACAGCAGCTTAGCCACCGTCTCTGCCCATGCTGCCGTTCTTCTCCCAAACAACCCTACGAGCCATCTATCGAGGCTGACCAAGCGACGAACAAACAGGAGACATCAACAGTCGTTGGCCATCTGTTTCCCGCTAGACATAGACATTTACGGACACGATGAACGGCACGCAATCTCCTCAAGACTCGACGGGACAGAAATCGCAACAAGGCGCTGAGCCTGCTGGAACCGCAAATGGCGCCTCGGGTCTGATCAAGAAGCGGAAGAAGGACGGGCTCAAGCCTATCATCACAACCGAGAACTCGAATCCAGGGTATGTGTTCCTCGACGGCACTCATATATGCGCCGACCTCTGTCACACACCCAGGCGGCTCTGCCTTCCCTGACCCCCTTGCTATCACAATTTCCATCCTCATCAGGCGCATGTCTCCATTCTTATGCGTATATGCACAAACACTCGGCCCCTCCATCCACTTTAAGATGGGCGCGATAGAGGACACTCACTACCTTACCCCTACCCAAGGTCTGGGCGCGCCAAGCATGCTCCTTTGGCGCCTCCTTGTGGCGGGAGTGGCCTGAGCGTCTTTCCAAGAGCGGAGACCGGCTGAGTGAAAAAGCTGAGGAGGGTCAAAGCTTCGCAGTGCTTTGTTGTGTGGCTAGTGGCTGCAATTCCCCTCCCTCTCTGTGCCTTATTCCCAGGTTAATCAACACTTTTGACGCCCATTCACCATTATCGCGACCCAGCAGCCCTGGCCAGTTTGCTTTGAATCGTGCCGACTGCTCAATCTTGCTTTGTCCTCTTCACTGCTGCCTGAGCTTCATCTTACGACCTTCACACACTTCACAATGAAGACGATGCTCAAGTCAAGGTTTCCCAGTTCCCTTTCCGTTTTGCCATGTTTAATCATTAAATGCTGCCGAGTGCTTGGCCTTGGGGACACTTGCTTCCTAGCCCAAAAACCCCGCTACTTTTCCCACCGCCTCTTCAAATGGCGCCGCAGCGACCCGATCTCCCACCCACCGATCTACCCTTCTGGAATCCCCATGTCTGTGCTACTCGCGTTGCATCCCGCTTACAACCATCTTCTGAAATAGAGCCGCTCATCTCTCCTCGACGATGAATCACTCCAATGCCTCGTCCCCTTCCCCCGACGACGCCGCCGAGAATACAGCCGACGAAGAAGACTCGGAAGATTACTGCAAAGGTGGCTACCACCCGGTCACAGTCGGAGAGAAGTTCAAAGACGGCAAATACACGGTAATACGGAAGCTGGGATGGGGCCACTTCTCGACAGTCTGGCTGTCAAGGGATAACAGCACCGGAAAGCACGTCGCCCTGAAGGTTGTGCGCTCCGCCGCCCACTACACCGAGACCGCCATCGACGAGATCAAGCTCCTTAATAAGATCGTCCAGGCGAACCCCAACCACCCCGGTCGCAAGCACGTCGTCAGCCTCCTGGATTCGTTTGAGCACAAGGGCCCCAACGGAACCCACGTCTGCATGGTCTTCGAGGTGTTGGGGGAGAATCTCCTGGGTCTGATCAAGAGGTGGAACCACCGAGGAATCCCCATGGCCCTCGTCAAACAGATCACGAAGCAGGTGCTGCTGGGTCTGGACTACCTCCACCGGGAATGCGGCATCATCCACACCGACCTGAAGCCCGAGAACGTCTTGATTGAGATCGGCGATGTCGAGCAGATCGTGAAGAAGGTTGTTAAGAGCGACTCGGGTGACAAAGACAATAACCGGAATGGCCGACGCAGGCGAAGGACTTTGATTACCGGCAGCCAGCCCCTCCCGTCGCCCCTTAATGCGACCTTCAACCACTCGTCGCTCTTTCCCTCGCCAGGTTCGCATCAGAGTCTTGGTCAGATGTTGCACGAAGGTAAGCTTTGAGCTTTCTAGGCGTATCTTCTTCTCTGCTCCCAGACCGGAGCAGACCTCTACTCTAGCGGGCGGGGACATCTTCTCTGACAGGGACTTGGTCGGCTAACGATGGATCACAGGTAGCATGTCGAAAGAGCCATCACCGAGACCGGGAGAGGACAAGCAGAACCAGCGGGAGAAGACAGCGGACATCCTTACCAAGGAGGTCTCTGGGATCTCTCTCAACAAGTCAACGGGCGCCTCCGCGATTGGCGAAAAGAGGAAAGCCGAGGACATGCATGCCTTTGATATCATAAGCGTCAAGATTGCAGACCTTGGCAATGCTTGCTGGGTGAACCATCACTTCACAAACGATATCCAGACCAGACAGTATCGGTCGCCAGAAGTGATCCTAGGAGCGAAATGGGGGGCTAGCACAGATGTATGGAGTATGGCCGCCATGGTATGTTGCTGTTTCCCCAGCCTACACTCCGCTCTCCCCTCCCCAACCACGACGCTTGATCGCGTTTGTGGTACCGGTCCAGTGTCTTGCGCCTTAACTTTGCGTTTCTCGGACAGCATCGCATTGGCGAGCAGTAGCTGATTGACGGTGGTCCTAGGTGTTCGAACTCATCACGGGCGACTATCTGTTTGATCCACAGTCGGGAACAAAGTATGGCAAGGACGACGACCACATCGCACAAATCATAGAGCTGCTGGGGCCGTTCCCAAAGTCCCTCTGCCTGTCGGGTAAATGGTCGCAGGAGATTTTCAACCGGAAGGGAGAACTGCGCAACATCCACCGCCTGCGCCACTGGGCTCTCCCAGACGTTCTGAAGGAGAAATACCACTTCAAGGAGGAGGAGGCAAAACGGACCGCCGACTTCCTGACCCCCATGCTCGAGCTAGTCCCGGAGAAGCGGGCAAACGCCGGTGGCATGGCCAGCCACGGTTGGCTCGACGACACGCCGGGCATGAAGAGCGTCCGAATAGAAGGGCTGGAGGTCGGCAGTCGGGGCGAGGGCATAGAGGGGTGGGCCAGCGAAGTGAGGAAGCGCTAAGACGTTCCCCTTTTTGGCATGGCAGTGGATGAGCCTTGGCTACGTGTGATGCAGCGGGGTGGCATAACGTAGCCAGCGCTTCCAAATGATTCGAGACATGTCTAGATGATATTTTCTGTCGGTTGCGGGAGGGAGGGAGGGGGGCAGAGAGCAGAGATCCCCAAGACAGGAACGATCACTTCAAACCCCTAACCCGTGGCGTTCACTCGGGGGGGTTTTGTGGTATCAGCTTATTTGCAACGAGCTTCTCCTTCCCCTTATTTTCCTTTTTTTGGAGGAAGGTGGCATGGCCTGGGCTTCCCCCCCCCCCCAAAAGACACTGGGCGACCCCCACCACATTCTTCAATATCTAACGCCTGGATCACGGAAAGATTTCTGTTCTACACCGTCACTCTTCACTTATGCTTGCGCCCCGTGTTTTCGCTCATGTCAGTGGACGGGTAGAAGGGACTGGTGCTTTTCTATATTTTCGACTGTCCATAGGGAAGCATTCCTGTGTCGCCTGCTACTCTCCAGCGAGGCAGTGCCGCCATGGACATATGAGCCCGTGTTTCTTGGGGGGGCAGGTGAGAGACCCACGTTCCAACACGGTGGTGGATGGATGATGGATGGATGGGTTTGGAAAGTCTCCAACTGGTGGTAAGGAGGATGACTACTAGACACGTAACATGAACCGCATCGAGATAATAAACATCGGGGTCTCGGACATAAGGTCTAAGGCGGCGACGTCTTTAGGATGTTGGAACACTGAAAGGAATTTTATGATGGATGTCCCGTTGACTTGACCCTGGCTACTGACAGGCAGGGCTCCATGATCAGGAGGACCCGCGGTAGAAATACAAGAGGGTCGTCGTGCTAATAATCTTGGGTGACGGACCTGCAGGCTTCCCAACAGGTGTGTGCTTGGGAGAAAGATGAATAAATACCAGGCCGCCCTCAGCGAGATCTTGATATTGTGATGGCTTGTCCATTCATCAGGTCCACATCTGTTTCAAGAAGCCGTCAAACCCTTTCCAACGCCAACCTGCCCCACCCCACCCTCCTCTCAAGACGACCAAAAACGGGGATTCAACCAAACAAAGCACGCGTCGTGAGCCAGCCAGAGTCGTCCCGCCTAGCGCTTCCCCTTGCCCTTCTGGGTCATCTTCCTGAAGGCCTCCAGGCCGCCGGCGCCGATGGGCCGGTGGTCGGGGCCGCGGGTGCCGTCGAAGGTGCTGCGGGGCGCCACGGTGTAGCTGGCGGGGAGGCCGGCGGGGCGGGCGCGATTGCTGGTGATGACGGGGGCGAGCATGCGCTCGCGCTCGGCCTCGAGGCGGGACAGCGCCACGGCGGGCCGCTGCGTCAGCGTGAACTGCGAGCTCCCGGCGACGGCCTCCTGGCGCTGGGCCATCTTGGCGGCACTGTTTTGGAAAAAAGGGTCAGCTCGTGTGTTCTTGTACCGGAGCAGGGGAGAAAAAAAAGGGGTTGGGGTGGACAGAGGCTGACGTACACATAGTCAAAGTCTCGCGTCTCGATGTGGCGCTTCTTGTAGTCGTCGGTCCGCTTCAGGATGGGCCGGCTCCATTCGCCAAGCAAGCGTTCTGCCATGCGCTTGATGCTCACTTCGGGTCTCTTGCTGCGAGTGTAGAAGAGGACAACCTTCCCGATTCCGCTACTGAGCAGAACCTCCTTCTCAACCTGCATCTTGGTCAAGGCCGTGAAGATGTCGCGCTGGATGCTGTACGCTGGAAGGCTCCCGTCGTTCAAGGGCTCGAGGAAGTACTTGACAGACTGAAGGAAGTTGGTCTCCGGATCGAGCACAGCGTCCTGGACTGTGTTACGATTCAACAGAGCGGTGACTTCTGGGAGAAGCTTCAACTTGTGTACCGCGGGTTGGCCGTTTTCTCTGGCGTCGTTGTCCGCAACGCAAGCCCTCTCCATGCGCACTTTGATGGACGCAATCTGCTCGTCGATTTCGTCTTCCAGGTCCTGGGTTGGCACACATGTTAGCAACATTGGACTTCTCCACTCAGACTCTCATCAGCATAAGCAAAGCCACGTACGACTTCATCCTTCTTCCGCCTCCTCTTGGTGGGGTTCTTGATGGCGGCATCCATAGCCCGGTCCAAGGCCCTCCTCCTCCTTTCCTCGGGGGTTAACTCCTCCTCGTTTTCTTGATTCTGCGACGTCGGTTTAGTCGATAGCCGATTCTCGCCATCAGATCGTGCCTTGCGTGGGCGCCGTTCGGTATCCTCGATAAGTGTGGATCCGAGGTCGTCGTCGTCACGAGCACGCTTCTTGGCCCTGCGTCCCTCCTTGGGTTTCTTGGCCGTCTCCCCATCGGTCCGCTTCCTCTTCGCTGCCTTCAGAGTCTTCGCGATGTCCTCGTCGATATTGACAGGTCTCTCCTCGTAATCCTCGAACTGATCCTCGTCGATTTCGGACAGGAGGTCGGAATCCTTGTCAGACAAGTCGAGGCCATCTGCCGGATCTTCCTGAGGGACATTCTCCGTCTGGTTCTCTTCTTCGCGAGCATTGGTAGGCTCGACGGGAGAGCCTACAGGCGACTCGGCGTCAGACATATTGTAGATTGCAGTCGGGGCGATGAGGCGAATGTGAGGAGCTGCCTCTTATGGAGAATGAGAGAGGATCGGGCGGGCGTCGAGGGAAAGGATGAAAATGAAAAAAACTCGGTGACGGGGCCCAAAAGTAGCAGGTCAGTTTATCGTATATTATCGGTAGACCTTTTAAAGGCTGTCCAGCGTGGAGAGAGTGGATATCAGAAGAATGGAAATCGGTTTCTTTGGAGGCTGAGAAACGACCAGCTACCATTCACGGCCATAGAGAGAGAGGTACCTAGGTACTGTATCTTACATAATCAGGCTTGTTTTATCCGCCGAGTGAAATCCGCCACCCTTGGTGCCTCATTTCTCAGGCCACAATAAGTTTTTTGTTTACTTTGTCCTTTGTTGCCAGCGACGACGCTGGGGGCCACTGCTGTCCAAGAAAGATTGCATGACATCTCGACACTCCCAGAGTGTCTGATGTTATGTAGCCCACCCCCGACACCACTGTCTACAGCCACCTCCCAGACCTGCCCTCAACATAAGTCATGAATCGTCGGACTTTTGAAGGTCCCATGGACTGGGAATACCAGAACCAAGGTCCTGTGGATTTGTCCAGTCCTTTTGCTAAAATATCACGAGGACAAACGACGTGTGAGTTCTCAAAAAGCCTTCCATTCCGAATAATGTGGCAGCTTCCATACAATGCACGACGGAGGTCTTCAAACTGAGCGCACTTGTTGCGCCCAGAATGTCAAACCTAATTCCGTGATGTGGCACCAGCTGACAAGAAGCCTCTGCCAGCAGCATCGTTCAATACGCCGTCCAAATATGGCAAACAGGCCCCCAATCCCTTCGCTACTGCGACTTCAGGCAGATCACCCTCCAAGCAGCAGCCGCAGCCTCCGCATTCTTCCTTATTCAATCCTCAAATACAGAATAAGTTCTCGGCACCGCCCTTTCGCAACCCGGCTTTCACGACGCCGCAGAAACGCGTCGACGAGCTTGCCTACTCGGAGTGCTCCGGCGCCGAATCGAGCCCCGCCATGACCGATACGTCCGAGATGCCGCCTGATACTCCGGATCTCGACCGTCCCGACGACTTTGCTAAGATGACCATCACCCCCTCGACAGCCAACCGGGCGCTCTTCCACCGCAAGAATTCGGTCGGGGCTCGCGCTCCTGGAAGGGGCGAGGTGCCCAGAGGCAAGGCAGAGATCCAGCTCAGAGACAGGATACGGAAGCGGAAACGCCAGGTAGGCGACAAGGATGTCGGAAGCGTCCGCCATAGGGTATCGCATGATTCGGACGGTTCAGACAGCGATTGGGAGGCCGACGCGACGGGAAGCATGCGCAAGGGAACGGCCAAGGGCAGGAAGGGGAGTTCGTCAGGCCCCGGATGGTTCGGCAGTTTCCTCATGGCAATCGGCAACAACCCCAGCGTACCCGCCATCCTTTCGAGGTGGGTGCAGCTTGCTGTGAACATCGTCCTGGTTGGTGGGTTCCTGTGGTTCATCTATAGCGGGATTTCCATGATGCGGTCCGACCTCGCCAACGCTACAGAGAAAGCGCGCGCCCTGGTCTTGGCCGAGATGCAGGCATGCACTCACGAATACACCAAGAACAGGTGTGCCCCCAAGTCCGAGCGGCTGCCGGCTCTGGACAAGGTCTGCGAGGAATGGGAAGCCTGCATGAATCAAGATCCGTCGAGCGTCATGAAGGTGCAGGTGTCGGCGCGGAACGTTGCCGAAATCATCAACGAGTTTGTCGGAGTCATGAGTCTCAAGGCCTGGGTGAGTCTTACCCCATGACAAACACACTCGTCCCAATCTTGGCTTCTCCTAAACCCGTATCTACATTATGCTAACTCTGGATCTCATCTAGGGCTTCATTCTCTCGGCGCTCCTGGTGGCAATCCTCGCGAACAACATTGGCTTTGGGAAGCTTCGCGATGCATCCTATTCAGAGCCGGCGAAGGTGGCCAATCCGTTCCCATCGCAGGCAGCAGCACCGCCGATGCTGACATCGCCGCAACACGACTCACATCAGGCTTACATATGGGCGCCTATCGGTCAAACGCCGCGGCGGTTTAGACGAGAGATCTTTGCGGCCGAGGCTACCGACACGGATAACTCGCCAGAGGTGAAAGCTATCATGCCCCAGACGCCTTCAGGAAGGAGGAGTCCAAGCAAAGGGGAGAGAGGACGTAGTCCCACGAAGGGTTCAAGAAGCCCCAGCAAGGGCTATTAACCCGAGGAAGCCCCTGGTTATCACGGCTAGGTATCACGGCTAGCAAAGGTTGGTGGGGGGTTTCAGGCTTCAAACGTTGTACACAATGCGAACGGGCAGCTGGATGCTTGGTGCTGGGTGCTGGGCTGGTTTGGATGGCGTTCAGGGGTTCGCATGCAAAGCAGGACGATGCGACCGTGCAAATAAAAAAGAAACCTTATTTTTCCCTTTTTTTTTTTTTTTTTTCTCCCCCGGCGAGTTTAAATGACTTTATCTGGAGATTGCATGATCCACGCAGGGTTCCCCCCACTCCCGACGAGACCCACCCAACCGCGCGATACATTGTATCCATTCCCACTGCCTTCTAGCCCCGGGCCATCATCTCCTGGTTCGATGTTTGATTTGCGATCTAGCCTTGTAGACCCGACCCCGGCCTTTCTTGGAAACTTTTGCTTTTCCCTTTTTCTTTTCCAACCCCCCGCCCTCTCCCTATCTCGCCAGTGCCCGTACCATTTCGTTGCTGCGCTGGCTGATGGTTTTTCCGCCACGCGACGGTGATAGCACGTGTCTGTCAAAGGTTCATGAAAACACACCTTGGTGTGTGGGCTCGCAGCGAGAGCCTCTGCCGCGGTGCTGTCAAGCTCCAGCATGGAGCCCATGGAGGAGGACTCTTCGTCCGGAACTCTCAAAGCGCAACCGCAAACCGCGTCTTCCGGTCCCGGAGCTCCCGCGACACAGCCCGCCCCCGCACCTGTGCCAATCCCGCCTGCGGGAGGTAGCTCGTCGGGCATATCAACTGACCCGCCCGGCTATTCCAAACGGAGACGGGGCCTGGGCGTCGTCACCCCCAATGCTTGCACCGAATGTCGCAAGAAGCGCGCAAAGGTAAGTACAGCACCGACCCACCTGTCCTCGCCCCCCTCGCCGGTTGAGGTGCTGTATCCTGACTTGGCCATGTCGCGTTTGCGCAGTGCGACGGCCGGAGACCATGCACCAGGTGCAAGTCCCAGAAAGACGTCGAATGCGTCTACGAGATCCCCGTCCGCCAGTCGAAGGAGAACCTCCGCCACGAGATCGAGCAATTGAGGCGCCAGCAACGCAACAGCGGCTCCGTCTTCGCTGCCCTCGTCCAGCCCAACCTGTGGGAGGAGGTGTTGGCGCGTCTGCGAAGTGGCCAGAGCGTCGAGAGCATATCTGAGTGGTTGGACGGGACGCTGCCATCTGGAGGAAGTGCGATTCCTGTTATCAACCGTGCTCTCAACCCGTCGACCGGGTTCTCCAGTGGCTATGCAGGTCCTGGAGCAAGCTCGTACGCACGCCTGGGCTCTGGGCCGAGCGCCGTCAGCCCTGTGTCTAGTCAGCACCCTCAAGGCATCCGCCAGGATACTGACCACAACAGCCCCTGGGCCGATCCCTTCTCTTCGCACAGCCAGACCGTTTCTACAAGAAGCAGCTCGCACCCAGATGGCAGGGCTTGGGGCTCTGAAACCGTCAGGGGCGGTCGCCAGTCCAAAGTTGGCTCCTGGCTCGAGAGCCAAGACCAGCCAGCCAACTCAACAGGCGGTATGATCGAGCAGCTGCTTCCGCCAGAGCTGCCAGAATTGAAGGTGCCTGCCGGGGCGTGGACGGGTATCACTTCGGATCTCAACCTGGTCCAGCACCTGCTTGCGCTCTACTTCTGCTGGGAATACCCGACCTTTGCCTCGTTCAGCAAGGAGCACTTCCTCAGGGACTTCCAAGACGGCCGTGGGAGGTTTTGCTCTTCCATCCTTGTCAACGCCCTGCTTGCCCTGGGTTGCCGTTTCTCGAGCCAACCAAACACGCGCGCAAACCCCAACGACCCGTACACCTCGGGCGATCACTTTTTCAAGGAGAGCCAGAGGCTGTTCTGCCAAGAGGAGGACCACCACAAGCTCACCACTATCCAGGCCTTGGGCATAATGTCCATCAGGGAGGCCAGCTGTGGACGGGATTCCGAGAGTTGGTACTACGCTGGCCAGAGCATACGCCTGGCGATCGAGATGGGCCTGCACCAGGTCACTGGCGACAGCGGTGACGAGGACGAGACCGCCGTCCAGGCGGCTACCTTCTGGGGGGCCTTTGCTCTAGACCAGTGAGTTTGGTCGCGGCCCAATTGCCGCCAGGGGAGTGGTTCCCAAGATTTCGCTGACGAATGCCGTACTTAGCGCATGGTCATTAGCGACTGGCTCCCTCCCGCAGACATCATGTTTCCCCGACTTACCGCCCAAGCCGGCCATAATTGATGATATAGAGGCGTCGCTGTGGATCCCCTACACTGACGATGGTGAGTTGGGGCGACCCCCGGCCATTCCTTCCTAGCTTCCAGCTGAAGGGGCAACCGGGGCCGAAGGCTGACGATTTTTACCCTCCCAGGCCTTCCATTACAGAGACCGTGCGAGCAGCCGTCAAACGTACGATCTGTGTACAAGTGCTTCTGCGAGCTCAGCGAGCTTGTTCACCAGTCGCTGTACATACTCCATTCTCCTGGCCGACCGCTCACCAGTCGGGACCTGCTCAAGATTTACACGCAGTACCTGAACTGGTACGACAAGATCCCCGAGGTCTTACGGTTGGGCCACAACTTCACACCAGCCGTCCTCTTCGCACAGTAAGCAACGAGCCCTACTTGACTTGCTGTGTAGGGATCTCTCGCTGATCGCGCCCGTCACCTCCAGCATGTATTATCACTTCGCCATCCTGCTGCTCTTCCGGCCTCTAATCAAGCTCCGCATCATCGGCTCAAGCATAACGCCGCGCGACGTGTGCACACAAGCCGCCGACGCCATCCAGGGCCTCCTGCGGTCATATTCGCAGCTCTATACGCTGAGGCGCACGCCTTCGTTCGTGCCATACTTTGTGCTAACCTCGTCTATCATGCACCTCGCCGTCGGGGCATCAACGACTTCGACATCGTCGTCGGGGCAAGGCGACAGATCACACGAGGCGGCCGAAGGAGGCCAGCCGGGACCGGGTCAGGGCAAGGTCCAGCCGCACGTGGCGGAAGCAATCAGCCGGGGGATTGCTGACCTTACAGAAATGGCCCCGTGTCACCACTTTGCAGAGCAGGCGCTGAATATCCTGCGATACCTGGCCAAGAAGTGGCAAATCGACGTCGACATCAAGAGTGAACCGAAGGTCGAAGGTGTTGCCGACGACGGGCGGTCGACGAGGCCGGTCACCAGCAGCCTCAACTTCTTCGCCCCCAACTTCAACGAGCAGGATTTCATGTGTAATTGGGGCGCCACGCCAACGCCACCCCAGCCCGACCGGCGGGCCGAGGCGCGCGAGACCACCAGGGAACCATTGCCGCTTATGAAAGACCCCGTGGAGAATCCCCTCTTCTGGCCGTTCCCGATGCAAGGGAGGCCGATGATCCCAAGCGGCCCGTTGCTGAGGGAGGCGGGATTCGAGCTGATCTGATATAACGACGAAACACAGTGGACCTCCTCCTCACACCTTGGTTACCCCCTTTCCAAATACGGATGGATACTGGGGTCCGGGGTTTTTCTTTCTTTTTTTTTCCTTTTTTTTTTCTTGCACTACCTGAGGTATTCTTTCCTGGCTGGCAGGGGAATCCCCTCCCCCTCCCCTCCTCCGCACCAAACACAAGGAAGAGAAGAGAAGAGAAGAGTAAGAAGAAGAAAAGAACAAGGAGAAAGGGAAATAGGGAAACAGAGAAACAACATCGTATCAGTAGTGTATGTATTTACATGGACGGATTAGACTATCACCAGAGCCTGGTGAGGTCCACACAGGAAACACGGCGTGGTAGGGGTTTTGGCGCTAGAGCATACCAACTAGATACCAAAAAGGCACAGGCAGGAAAAGTCACTTGGAGGAACCTCAAGGTCGGTCTGCCGTGTCGGCGTGTCGGCGTACTCGGGGAGCTTTGACCTTCCAATTTTACTTGGGCACCCCAACCATACGTGGGTACTGTACCTAGGTACCTAGGTACCTAAAGGTACCCTGGATAGTACACATGTAAGCAGGTATACAGATTAGGTACCTACATACCTCCATGCATTTACTTGCTTCCCGACGGGAAACAAGGCAAAAAATATTGGATATCCTCGCCAAACAACCTTAACTGATCGACTCCACTTCCCCCAAATGGCTGTTGATCAAAGGCAATCATCGCGTCAGAGCGCAAGTGAACTGACCCCGCCCGCCACCTTTCTGGGTTCTCGAAACAAGATGGGATCGTGTTGGGTAGGTTGATCCAATGAGGGGCCCCGTCCAGCCATCTTCAGCGGCACCCCCTCTGACTAGCTTGTCTCTGCGGGGGTCGTAAACAGACGACCAACGGGATGTCGAGCTGGCCTAGCTGGAGGTAGCTTGACGCGCTGCCATTGGTCGGCCTCCGCCACTCGAAACACTTGAACCCTGACGACCGGGGGCATCGCAGCGGGTGATGACCCTGGTCTCGTTTCAGGTGGGAGAATCCGCCCAGCCCTCGCCCCGATTTACTGCCTGGTAAATCCTAATTGCCCAATCCTAACTCTGGCCCAGTCGGCCGGATTGACCCTCGCGGCGATCCGTTCTCTCTCTCTCTCTCTGCCCTCGCTGATCCTCCCAAATTCTTCTGCGTTCCTTCCGTTCCGTACACGCACACACACACACACGCGATCTCTCTTGTTCCTTTCTCTACGTCCTGCTTCTCCCCATGTCTCTCTCTCCTTGAAATCCAAATCCCGTCAGAAGATATCGCCCATGCACATACGCGCGCCCGCGCGGCCAAAGTCAAAGATTCACCGCTCAAAGTCTCACCATTCGCTTGCGTGCAACGCCTCGTCGTCCTCATCACTGTCGCCGCTGGCTTTCCAGGTAGCTCACGGGAAGCGGGCCGCCTTCACATGGCCTTTTTCCAAGGCCTTTCTGCCGGCGGTCTAGCTGCCGCCCTGCGTCAGTTTAAGGAGTCGGGCGTGTCGAAAGATGCCTTGGAGCGGGCCTTGACAGAGGTCTATCAGGACCAAGGCCAAGGGCTAACACCACCGGCAGAGTCGGGTAGGTCGTCAGGTCGCTGGCTTCTCTCTTTTTTTTTCTTGTCATATCTCAGAGGGGATTCTGACTTCCGCTAGCGCACTCAAATATCGGATTTGATGGTCTTGACGATGGACGAGACAAGTACGCCCACCCAGCTCGCCTTTCCGTGTCGACAACCAGCTCCAAGTCCTCGGGCGGGTCCAGGTCTAGCGTCCTCTCGACGGTGACTTCGATAAGCTCGGTCGGCTCGCAGCCCGCAGCATCTGTGGCTTCATGGGGGTCTGCCCAACCCAGCAGCAAAACAGGGGCAGCACCTAGATATTGGTGCACCTCCTGCGAGACCACCTTCGCGCGCAAGTATGACTGGAAGCGCCACGAGGAAGAGTTCCACGAGAGGTACAGGAGGTACCCTTGTCCCGGATGCAACCGCGTCTTCTGGGGCGCCAACACGTTCAACCAGCACCACAAAGCCGCACACAACTGCACCACGTGTCCGCACGCCCACGACGTCGTCGTATACACCAAGAGGAAGAGCGCCTGGGGATGCGGCATCTGCGCCGCCTTCCTTCCCTCGAGGGATCGCTTCTTCGACCACGTCTCCAAGCACTTCGAGTCCGGCATGACGAAGCCGGACCACTGGACCCATTCCCGGGTCGTATACGGATTATTGCACCAACCCCACGTCTGGCTCGCGTGGAAGAATCTCGTCGCCATGGTCTGGGGGGATAACCAGCCCCGCTTCAGCTGGAACCCGGATACCACCGGCCGGGCCCCCGGCTTCCTCGAGAACGGCAGCCCCGGGAAGCTGCAGGACTTCCTCGAGTTCTTCAGCGAGAACTCCATCAACGTCCGCCAGCTCGTCCAGCTCGCCCACGACCAAGCCGACGTCGTCCCACGATACCCCGCGCCGGCGCAGTTCCCCCATCACCCGGCCCCGCTCCTCCTTGCCGCGGGCCAGCTGGGCTCGACCGGCCGCCAAGACGAAGTCTCCCCCACCTCGCACCTGTCGGCCTCCCAGCCGATGATGCCCATGGTGGTGGTGGACACGACGCCGCTCGACCAGCAGCAGCGGCAGCAGCAGCAGCAGCAGCAGCAGCAGCAGCAGCAGCCCCAGCCCCACCGCCACGAGTATCGGGATTCCGACGTGCCGTCCATGCAGGCCCCCAACCCGCAGTATATGGCCCCTCTACGCTTCACCGACACCATCGTCGAAGTCCCCGAGCTCGAGTACTACGACATGGGGCCCGCTAGCAGCCACATGGGGCCGGGCCTGCCGCATGCCTCGGGGGCCGAGGACTGGAGCAGCCTGACGGCCACGGTGGTGGACGAACCGATGTGGGCGAACGGACAGAGGTACTCCCACAACGGGCCGGGGCGGTGATGACCTTGCCCCCGCTCTGGGTGCCCCCGGAGCGTTCATGTGTAGGACCTATCTATATAGGAGGCTGCGGAGTGATGGCCATGCATGCATTCTTGGGTACGGGGGAACATTTTGGGAAGGCAAGGGGGGAAAACCTGACCATCGGCAATCTCTTTGATGGGGAAGATATACGGGTTGGTTACGCCACTCGTTGGATTCAACAACGGGTGTTCGGTGTTTGTATTGGCGGCGTTCGGTTAAGTGCATGAACTTAGGAGGCGGTAATTGGTATTAATAGACACAGGACGGCACCATAATAGACCACCAGCTAGCGGGTGGGGGTGACGGGAGCGGAAAAAAGCAATCTATCACGGTTTCTGCCGCCGCCTTGTGTGCCAAGTGCTGCAGGGTATGCTTAATCGGCAGCGATCCATTTTGCCTTCTGTCCTACTGGACTACAGCAACAAGCTTCATGTACTATCACACATTTTCCTAGTAATTCAGGTTTGCCATTTCCTTCCCCGCCGACGATGCCGTCGCCAGCTTTGCCCTCTTCCATGTCGGGCTTCCTTCTCTCAGCTTTCAGCTTATCCCATCCCACAGCGAGATGTCCCCAGTGGCGCGCCGCGCCGCAGCAGAGGCTCGTCAGCAGGTGACATGACGGGTACATACCATATATGTGTCTAGAGAAGCCATCTAGATTACCCGCTGGTTCGCAATCCAGTCTCAGCTCCCCGCCTGAGGAGTCGCAAGCTGCCTCTGCTCGCCGCCATCGTCCTTGTCCTGCGCCTCACGCTTCCCCTTCACTGCCTCGGGCGGCGGCCGGGGAAGAAGAAGTGGGGATGGCCGGGAAAGAAGTACTGGGGACGATGAGTGCGAGGAGGCGGTTGTGGAGCGATTTGTGCGGCTCGAGGGGCGCGGTGGTGTGCCGGATCGAGAGGGACAGTGGGGCCGAGGGCCGGCGGGCCGGGTGGTCGAGGGCGTCGAGGAAGGAGGCTGGGATGTCGGCGCTGAAGAGGTGGATGTGCTCTTCGGTGTCTTTCTTGCTGTTGGTAAAGAGGAGGTGGGACTAAACGGGCACGCATATGTCGTGATTAACATAACGAGTCGGCGGGGGGGAGGGGTGCGTGTGTTGGGGGGGGGGGGGGGGTGCTTTGGAGTAAGACCTACCCGGAACGTGGATGTGTCGCCGGATCCGGCAGTGGCAGCTGCCTGCGAGGCCGGCGCCAGAATCTGCCCCTGCTTCTGTGCCAGGGCGATCAGGAGCGCTGCTATGAGAGGGTCGCGCAAGGGGTCGGGGGGAGTGGTCTTCTTCAATTTCAGCAGAAATAGATCCCAGACGGGTCGGTTTGGCCGTTCCACGTTCATACGTGGTTGCAGAGCCTCGCGCCGTTGGTTCTCAAGGGTCCGGTAATCAACATATGCGACAATCGGGGATACCCTCTTAAGGACATTGTCGTCGCTCCAGGAAAGGAACATGGCACATCTGAGAAAAGCGACGCGGCGCCGGGCAAAATGGAAGTAGAAGCCATCGTAGAAACGATTATCGCCTGTGAAACGGCCATGGCTGCAAGATGGAAGAAGACGTGAGTTGGAAAATGCTTGGACTAACAATACTACCAGAGGGGGACGACGGAGAAAGAAGAATGGATACAATTGAAGGACATACCTGGGTACTAGTGGGTCCTCGGGAGTACAAAGAATCCTGTCCAGAGCACGCTTGCGGGCGACAAAATTGGAGGATCCAACCAGGCCGCTGACAAGCTTACGCTGGTTGCCATAAGGTGGAGGAAAGGTTGCTGTTGAGGGGCCTGTCGAAGGCGCAGGAGAAGGGCCGTCAAACAAGCATTGAAGCACCTCGAGATGCCAGCTGGTCCAACGGAACGGCCTCACCAACAATCGCTCCCTGCAATAAAGCGCAGCTAGGTCAAGAATTGACAGGGAGGGGGATGATGACGGTGAAGGGACTGAGGGGACTGCGGGGACTGTGGAGGGTGCGGGGACTGCGGGGACTGTGGGGAGGAGTGCGGGGGAGTCCTGTGGCCGCAACGACGATGCTGATGAAGACAGAGATGAAGATAGGGATAGGACTGGAGACGAAGATGATGAGTCCATGGCGCGCGGAGAGTCTGCAAGCAATGTGTTAAGGTGTCTGCAGTCTCGGCAATCATATTTTTGACGCATTGTTTTGGCTGTAGTTTTGGCCGTGGGTTTGGATATGAGGGCACCAAGAGGTCAACCGGCCTAATATCGGATCAAAATACTCCTGGTGAAGTTACTTGACATGCACACAGTGGCACATAGAATGTCCTCACAGCTACAACCGATTGTCAGATATGAACTCTGGACGATTATGCCTGGCAGCCTCGCAGCCTCATAATGGTGGCCCAAGAGACGTGCAAATAGGATTGTATTGACAATAGATGACTGCGTTGAAATGAACTGAATTACCCTTTACTAAGCCCAATCCTCCATGTACTAATCTGAAACATATAAGAGATCCTCTGCATAACTTCTAGGTTGACTCGCGGTAGAGTGCTTCCAATCCTATCCCCTATCCAACGGCAGAGAAACCAGCGAGAATTGGGTTCGAAGAAGGCGTATGCGAGGAAGCTTACAGGCAAGAATGAGGCGTGTTCAAAGTCGACAATGTATAGGCAAAGACGGCAATCGGCATCAGTGGTGAACATGAAGTTTTCGTCGTTAAAGTCTGTATAGCAAAATACAAGCTCTTTCTCGAGATTGACCACTGGCGGGTTGGGATTATTGCGGTATCCCAGTCTTGCAACCTGGTAATTAAGGTACTGTTAGCATGGCACATCCAACTGATGTTTTCATTGCACCATACCCTATTCAAATGGTCTTGCAATTCTTCGACAGTATTGTACTCAATTGGCGCTTCGTGGTCCTTGAAAAGCATGTGTTTGATAATGCGTCGAGAGCTTGTGCATGGACCAGGAGTTGGGTCACCAGGCAGAGGCGGAGGCATACGACGAAGCAACTGAATTCCCTCGGCAATTAAATCGTAGTACTTAGACTTGCGATCTCCCCACTGCTGAGTTCCGAACTTCTTTGCAATGTCTTGGATGCCGCTTGCTTCAATAAACTGCATGACGATGAGAAGTCACACCATGTCTACCGAATACCTTGTAAACCTCCGGGACGTAAACATTGCAGTCTCGTTGTCCTGTGCTTAGCCAGCCAAATGCAAGCCTCTGCATGTCTCCCTCAGCCTGTTTCTCGGGGCCGCCGAATTTGACAAAGACCATGGGACGGTCAGGCGGGTAAGAAAACATCGGTATATGGCGCGGTTGACTTTCATGGAAAAGCTCTTCCTCGGAGAGAGCATGGGCGAATATCCTTGCAGACGCATTGTTGTCAATCAAAGTGGCGTCAGGTTTCTGGGGGACCATGGAATTTTGCATAATTTAGGATTTAGGGACAGGTGATTTGACTTGAGGAGGGGGAATCTTGGCTTGGTAGGCAGACTGGGGATGGAAGGCAGCAGAGTGTTGGGGGAAAGGAAAATTTTGGACCACGCGTGATCTGGTGACAAGTGCGCGCTTGATCAAAAATACTCGGCCAATCAGTGTAGAAGCCAATTACTGGCACATATGGTTGGCGAGGCACCAGCGCTGAGGCTCGAATCTGAGAACTCGATTAAGTCACACTATTAGGCTTGTCTTGGTGTTGACTACAGCCTAAACATGACACCAATCTGGTTACTAGGAATTTCCATTTCCTTCTTTAGACCTAAGCAGTTGCTGCCTTAACCGAGCTTAGTCTAGGCACCTTAGCTATAGTTGCCATGGTTTGAGAAGAGTCGAAAGGGCGGAGGGGTCGAGCGTTAAGCACCTGGGTTGTTGTTTACATCTGCTAAACTACCTACCTCCCTACCTAGCTACCTTCCTACTTATCTACCTACCTACCTACGTGTATCGTCGTAACCCGTTTTACCCCACTATATGGTTCACAGGTCATACCTCTTCCACACCTCAAATAGGGGTAGAATTATTGCCTCTCTGAAGCTTGAAAGAAATGACTCGTGCTGCGACAAAAGACTCCTGGGCTGCCCCTCCATGTCGATGTATCGCCGTCCAATGCAAACTTTCACCACGCTTTCGTACACGGCGCTCGCTTCGTTGCAGATCTTCCCATTCTTCAATAGCATTCTGGCCAAGCAGATGTTGGCAAATTCGTCCTCAACCGTGGCGTCCAGCCCATATTCCTCCTTCATCTCCTGGATGGACTTCCCAATAGCCAGCTCGATCAGCGCGAGGCCGAGCTTGGTCAGAACCGGTTCTTCGTCGAGGACATCGGCCATTATTCGGGGAACGTTGACAGCAGTCAACTCTGACGCCCTGTCTCCTTTGTATGTGACCGAGTAGATCTCTCGGAGGATGAAGATGCCGGGGAATTTGATGTAGTTGTTGCCCTTCTTCTGTGCGTTGTCCTCGTGGTCCTTGCCGTCCTCAACGGCAGCTTGACTGACGCAAACGTCATTCCACGTCCAAGACTCGCTAACCCACGGTGTCTTGCAGAGTTGTACGATGGCCAAGCTTAGTCGAAGTGCTAGCTCCAGTCGATCCTTGGTCGACAAGCCGTTGCCAGACTGTATCAATTCGGCGAAGTACTTGATGCTCGGGGGCTTGGCGTCGCTGGCGTCTATTTTCGTCACCTTCATCCTGTACATCCGGTCGTTGTTGGCTATGTCTATCAGAACTTGGCGGTCCTCGGATTCCGTGGCGACGTCTCTGATCAGGGAGCAGATATTCCGGATTGTCGATGCATCTATGTCGTTATCGGGGATTGACTCGAGAAGGACCGTCACGGCGACATCAGATGGGGTCTCGGGCCTCACGGGAAAGGCAAGACAAAAATCCCACTCGTCTGTCGAATGAAGGGCACATTGCTCTTTGAAGGGCTGAACACAGGCAGTGCAGTAACAGCCGAGGCCAATGACATGTGCCCTTGCGCAGGCGCAGGTATATGTTCCGCTAATAGCCTCGAAGAAATTGCGGGCTGTATGGCCGCCGCTCTGCGGGATGTTGATGCTAATGGCACTCTCCTTGCGGTACTCTTGGTGGGATCTGAGAAAGCGCCTATCATCCAGCAGCTCACGGAGCTCGCGGTTCAAGGCCCTGATTTGCTTCACTCGCTCCCGTATACCCGAGTGTGACATATTAGCCAGGGTCATCCTTATCGTTGTCCTGAACCGGTCAAGGACTTCCTACGAGGAGATTAGTAGGTAGTTTCCATCTAATTAGTCTCTCTAACGCGAGTAAGATGCTCACCGTGCCCCGACACATGTTTGTGAGCTCTGTTTTCACTTGATCTAGTGATGTCTTCATCTGGGACAAATACCCGATTGTTAGATCGAGTTTCTCTGAGCCAAGGCGAGCAAGGAGCTTCCGTTGGAGAGCAGGCTCCTGCCAGAGCGGCTGATCAATCGGTCCTTGACCGGGGACAAGTCGCTGCATTTCTTGTTGTGAAACAGCAGATTCAAGAATCTTTTTGACAGTGTCGTCATACATCGCTGAAGCGACGATAACGCCCCTGTTGAGGTCGGCCGAACCACTTCCTCTCATCCTCTTGTAGGTCTGGGCAAGCTCAACGATAACGGGGTATAAACCCAGGATGACCCCGAAGATCTCTATTCCTGACATTGTGTGAACGACTTGTACTGAGACACACGAGATGAAGAGCGGCACGAAGAGCTGGGGAAGTTGCGGGAATGCCAAGTTTGGGTCTTTGCGGGAGTTGGATGGTTAGGGCCGTGAGCCTCAGAGGGCAGGCATATGCGGGGGGCTAACCCAGCTCTTCATCATCAACGGAGCCTCGCCCAAAACTGCACTTTCAGAGGAGGGCCGTGGAGGATTCCCGTTGGCCGCAGGTCTAACCAGAGTACGGATCCGTACCAGCATTCCAATATTGCATCACATTGTACCGGTACATTACGGGGCTCCAGGTTATTGGATGGGGGACTGCAGGCGAGTAAGAAGAGGTGTGGCAGGGTGCTTATCACACTTTGTCGTCTGAGCGTCAGCCCGAAGATAGCCATTTCGGGAGAACACTGCATTGAGCTGGGTGGGGGTTGACGAGCAGATATTAACGAGAGCCAGTCATTTCCTGCAGCCACCAACAGCCTCGTCCTCACCCGCGCGGGGTCGATACGGTTCGGCCCGGGGGTAGAGTTGATGATGAGGAGGCAGTTTGCCTTGCGTGAGAATGAGGCAATCCACGAAACTTCTCGTGATGCAAACAGAGACAAGGGTATACACCCCTGCGTCGCCGCCGTTCACCCCTGAATGTCAGTAACACACCGCGGCAGCGATGGACAGCACCTCCAAGGACCGGCCAGGTGGATCGAAGGCGCTCCGTACCAAAGAAGCCCAGAAGCTGCGGGCAAAGGCCCCTCTCGCCGCCCAATTCGAGGACTGTGCGCAGGCTGTTAGACAGCTCCACACGGCTCTGAATGCAAACCCTTCGGTATCCGAGCAGGTGCCTTTGCGAATTCTCATAGAGAGGTGTCTCAGGCGATTGACATCATGGGGCCACGACACCGGGGCGTCGTCTCGCGCCCTAGACCATTCCTTGCGAAGGGCTTCGAAGCCACGAAGCAGCACCCTGACGCTGCTAAAGGAGCTGCACGAACTGGTGGTGCAAGGCATGTATACCAAAGTCTCTACTTTCGGGTTCTCATGGCTAATCAAACTACCGGCGTGGATAGCGACCGAGTCTCTGCCCACTGCATTTGACGGCCCTGGAGGTTTCGGAGAGCGACCAAAAGGGGACCAAGCCGACCAGCCATCCTCGTCATCCGTGGCGTCGCCGTCGAAGCAAGTAGAGACGCAAGAGCTTATCGACATTCTTGGTCTGGGGGATCATGACTCCGATTCGAGCCCAGAAAAATACCTTGCCGAAGCCGAGGAGATAATAGATGACCTGTCCGACCTTCGCCCGACTCTCCTCGACCCCTATGACGATGACGACCCTGAGCCGCTTCCAGATGCCGACCAACTCGATTTACAGGACCGCCAATATGTCCAAGAAGCGTTCACCAAGGCTGCTCCATTCTTGGTCGACCGACTTGTTGCGGCAAACCGGCGGCGACGACAGAACATCCACGGCCTGAGGGAGGAGGCCTTGAGGACCGGAGGTGGGGATGGGAGGCCTGTTCCAGAGGCCGTCACCGTCGGGAAGGCTGTTCAACGCGCATCTTCGAATAATTTGCGCCCAAATGCTTCTGCGAGTCGTGTCCGGGGCTATCGAAAGGCCTCGAGGCCATCGGGTTCCGAACCTGGGGCTTCCAGGACTGCCCCATCGACGACAGGCAAGACGTCGTTATTCTCACACGACGTTGTCTACGAAAGGGAATCAGTCACATCCTTTGCATCCACGGGCTTTGCTGCCCCTGCCACTTCCACTATCACTGCCGAACTTCAACCTCCTGGGCCACCTGTCGACATTAGTGACGAGAAGAATCTCCCATTTCGGTGTCAGTACTGCTGCTTTGAGGTTCCTCTGGAGCTTGACAAGCACAACATGGACCTCAACGACTGGGTCACCCACTTCTACCTGGACCTGCAGCCGTACAGCTGTACCTTTGAAGGGTGTAATCGAGCCCATAAATTGTTCGGGGTAAAGCAAGAGTGGTTTCAGCACGAGTTGGATTATCACCGAACCCAGCAAGCCTGGTATTGTGCCAAGGCTGAGTGCAGGACCGAGTTCGAGACCCGAGCGCTCTTTGAACAGCACCTGAGATCGAAACACCCGGATGTAGTTGCCAAAGCAAGCGCAGATTTCCTCGATATCCTCATCGAAACCTGCCAGAGGGTCTCCCTCAAGTCCCAGACGTCCCCTCAGCATGAATGCCCCCTGTGTGGAGCTCCATACCAAAAAGATGTCCCAGCAGACTGGAAGGACCACATTGCCTACCACCTTGAGCAGTTTGCCCTCCAGGCCATTGGCGAAGAGGAGGACAGCCCGTCGTCCGAAGACGAACTCGATCGCCATGAGCTCGTCGAGGAGTTTGTTGATGATATTCAGGAGAGGTATGCCCCGCCCAAGGCCGACCCCAACGAGCAAACCGCCGTACAACGTTCCCTGAGGCCCGACGAGAGCAACGACCTTCCGGAGTTTACCGATAGCTCTGGCGGTCTCGGCGACGGCGGGGGGGACAGACGCCAGCGGAGAGATGGCGAACATTTATGGGCAGACAAGGTTGAAACGTATCTGACAAAGCAGCCTGAGGAGGATCAACCAGACAACCCCGATACCACAACGGAGACCATATGGCTCAACGTGTCCCAGCGAAACGAGGAGTTCATTGGCAGAGATGGTGACCTCCAACACCTGGATGAATTCATCTCTCAGTCCGGGCACATCTGTGTTATGAGCGGTCGCGGAGGAATCGGCAAGACAGCCACTGCCGTCGAGTACGCACGTCGTTACGAGCAAAACTACTCGGCCGTGATTTGGATTGAGGCCGAGACTCCGGGCGGTCTCGCCGACAAATACAACCACATCGGCACCAAGATCTTTGCACTCGGGCCTGAGAGCGAGCAGGACCCGCTCAGTTTCACGCTCTCGGTCAGGTCAAAGCTTGGGCGTTGGGAGAAGAGATGGCTCCTGATCTTTGACAACGTGGAGGCTTGGGAAGACATATCTCGGTACATCCCCCGGAACCTGCCCAAGACTAAGGGCTCGGTCCTCATCACCACACGACAGCAGGCCCTCATCAAGACGGAAACGCGGGCGCTGCAGCGCGTCCTGCACCGCATCGAGTTGGAACCGTTGACGCCCGAGGAAGGAGGCCAGTTCCTCCTCTGCTCCATCGACACGAGGGTGACCCCGGAAGACGTGCCCGAGCACCCGGAACATGACCTTGCCGTCCAAATTGCAGAGCTCGTAGAGAGACTGCCCCTGGCACTCATCATGATCGCTGGCTACATTAGAGTGTCACGGGAGACCTTGGACAACTTCCTCGAGATTTGGGAGGAGAAGATAGCGTTCCGGTCCAAGCAGGCCACTCGAAGCAAGTTAATTACCGAGGGTACCTTGGACTCTTCCATCGACCTCCTCTGGGACATTGGCATCAGCGAGCTCACGGTGCCGGCACGAAACCTGCTCGAGATCCTCGCCTTCCTCGACCCCGAGAACATCCAGAAGGATCTTCTTGTTGGGGACCACAACGAGAAATACCTGGAATTCCTGAACGCCACAGAAGCCACCGTGTACAGGCGGATGATCCGCCTGCTCAGCGGACGGAAACTCATCGAGGTCAGGGTGAAGGAAGACGGCACAGAATCGTACCGGATCCACAGGCTGCTGCAGCGAAAGATCGTCATCGACATCGGCGCCCAGCTCAAGTTCGACAGCGCCATGAGGAAAGCCACGCGGCTGGTGCGGAAGCGGTTTCCCCAATCGCCTGCAATCCAGGCCCCCGCGCCCCAGAACTGGCGACTGTGCAGGGAGTACATGCCGCACGTCTTCAGCCTCCTGCGGGCCTTCAAGGACGCAGAGGACATGTTTCCGGGGTTCGAGAAGACCAGAGAGATAGCCGACATGTTCTACGACGCCGGCTTCTACGTCTGGGACCGGCAGGCCACCGAGCACGACGGCCTGGCCTTCCTCGACACGGCCGAGAGCATCCTAGACACACTCCAGACCGACCCCATGTCCGAACGGCGGGCCGACATCCACTGCATGTCCGGGCTCCTTCGCAACACCATGGGCTGCCAGCAGCGCGGCGAGAGTCTCTCGCGCCTGAAGCTGGCGCTCAGCATCCGACAGCACATCTACGAGTCGACTCCCGTTTACAACAGGATCAACGACGTGCTGCTCCAGAACGCTGCCACCGACTACGGCATCCTGCTCCTCAACAACTACGACTTTGCCCAGGCCGAGATCATCTTCGAGAAATGCCTTGAGCGGTACCGCGTCTGGGGCTCCGAGGAAGAGATCCCGTTCGAGTACTCCAAGTATTACTACAACATGGGCATCGTGCGCATGTGGCAGGAGAGGATAGCCGAGGCGATCGAGTTCCTCCAGAAGTCGGTCGACCTGGCGGAAGCCACCTTTGGCGGGAAGGAGGGCCAGTACTGGGACAACTTCTTCACGCTCGCGTGCGTCGTTCGGCACTCGGGAGACGCCCAGAGGGCGCTCGACATGCACCTTGAGACCCTAAAGGCCAAGCTGGATCAGCTGGGGAAGCACAGCAAGAGCACCATTCTCAGCACGTATGCTGTTGGGGGCATGTACGCCCACATTGGCGACCTGTCAACTGCAATGTAAGTCTCTCTCTTCTTTTCCCATCACATACCCAATCCCACCACACACCCAATGCCGCTTTTGGCGACCTTGTCACTCACGTCTTCCCCCCACAGAGATTCCATGGAGCGATGTATCGACCTTGCCACATCCTCGAACTGGACCGAAGAAGCCCTCGGCCGGGCCCAGTTCCACCTCTCCCGCCTCTACAAACGCCAAGGGGTGAACCTGAAAGAGGCCGAAGAACTCGAGACGAGAGCCAAAGAAACCCTGGAAAGGTACTCGGAATACGCCTCGGAATGGGTCATGGGCGTCGGGGACCCCGTCATGATGTACGACGACTTGCAGCCAACCGACGAGGGGCGATTCACGGGGACGCTGCTGCTGAAGGTGTTGTGGGCGCGGCGAAAAAAAGAAAAGATTGCGAGCTTCTTGGACCAGGATGGGCGGCAGGTGACTGTGCATACCGGGCTGTAGTGAGTGGGCGAGGCAAGACTGTCAAATTCCAGGTTTGGAAACTTAATATACCATTACCACCAACCAAAGTAAATCTTCGTCTATGTCATGACTCGGTGAATACCAGAACCCTGAGCTCGATGCTTTCCCTTAACGCCTGCTGCTGGCTTCCAGTGCCGTCGTCGGGTTGAAAGGAGGCGTGTAAACAGCCTGCAGTTATGCGTCAGTATAATCAGCAGAGTAAAAACCACACGGGGCCACCGCGGGTGATGGATGCCTCACGCTTTGCCGGCACCTCCGGATCCGAATCATACACCTTCACCAATATGACATCGTCGAATTCCATGTCGGAGAGATAATACCACCTCTGGTCTGGGTTGTATTTCGCAAAATACGTCTCTCCCACGTATCGTCGACGGACAATGTCGCACGTCACCAGATCGTCCTGCTTGACGGTGCGAGAGTCGCAGAGGCCGAGGGGCCACGACCGGACTCTTGCCAGTGGCCTCCAGATGCTGGAAAAATATATATGTTAGGTCGCCGAGTTTGGAAAGAGAATAAGTAGTAGTGGAGAGAAACAGAATTACTTGATAACTCTGACCCTGCCCCTCAAAAGCTCGTCTGCCTCGTCGCCCATGTGCCGTCTGACTCGCAAGTTGGCGCCGTGCATAGTCTGGTCTTGTAAACGTTAGTTGATGCCCAATTCTCCCTACTTTTTCATAATAAACACAGTACAAACCAATATGGGGATGCGTGGCCGGAAGCAGGGGGTCGAATCCATCCTCGAGGTTGACAGTCCTCTTGGAGAACTCCTCGGCGTCGACACTCTCTCTCAGCTTAGCCCCAGAGTCAGCACCACAAGTAATTACACACCACAATCTCTCTCCAGACAAAAAACAATCGAGTTCACCCACCCGCAAATCAAAGCAAAACGTCCTAGCCTCCCCTCCCTCGCCCCCCATCCCAAGGTACCGCCGCAGAAACGCCTCCATCTCGGGGACGTACTGCTCGCCGACCGCCGCGCGATCCTTGAGGTCCCGGACGGCGGTGGGCTGGCGGACGAACTGGAAGCCGTGGGTGTCCAGGCCGAAGGCGTCCTGGCGGCCGCGGACGTCGTGGACGCGGACGGGCCGGCGCTCGAAGACGAGGTTGCTCCGCGGGATCTTGTCCCTGTTGTTCTCGCCGAAGCTGGCGAGCGGGAGGAACACCTCGTAGGGCTTTTGCTTCTCGTACAGCGGCTGCCATTGTAGGAATTCGAAGGACGCCTCTACGGCCGCCATTCCGGGACAGTTCGGGTGTTTGTTAATGGGGGTGGTGGGCTGATGGGGGGTTTTTGGGGAGATTGAGGTTGGAAGTTGCCATCAGGTGAGGTGCTTAAGGTCCGGGCCGGCATCAGCTGCAGTGGGTGCAGGTGCAAAGTCGAGAATTCGCAGAAAGAGATGGCACTGACAGGCTCGATGTATTTACGAAAATGCAACAGCTCTAGGCTACAAAGAGTAACTAAGCTCCAATGAAAATGGGCTTGAAAACAATATTAAGGCGCTGTAAACCAACTACATCCCTCGGAGCAAACGCCAAATGAAAGTTCTTCTATGCCAGCGGCGGGCGGCGCGGGGGGGGGGGGGGGGGGGGGGGGGGGGGGGGGGGGGGGGGGGGGGGGGGGGGGGGGGGGGGGGGCGGCGGGT